CCGCCCCCAACCCCGATGAGAGTGAGCGGGACTTGGGGGGCAAGGGGGGGTATGGGGGGCATCCATGGGAACGTGGGGAAGGGGGGAGTTATGGGATGGAGGGACACCACAGAGACCCATAGAGACCACAGAGACCTATAGAGACCCATAGAGACCTATAGAGACCTATAGAGACCCCATAGACACCCCACTGCTGCACTACGGCATCTCCGTGAGTGCGCGTAGGGGCATATAGGGACCTATAGGGACCTATAGAGACCCATAGAGACATATAGAGACATATAGGGACCTCATAGAGCCATAGAGACCCATAGAGACCATAGAGACCTATAGAGACCATAGGGACCTATAGAGACCATAGAGACCCGTACAGACCTATAGAGACTTATAGAGACCATAGAGACCTATAGAGATCATAGAGACCCATAGAGATCATAGAGACCCATAGAGACCATAGAGACCTACAGAGATCCCATAGAGACCTATAGAGACCCATAGAGACCATAGAGACCCATACAGATCATAACGACCTATAGAGACCATAGAGACCACAGAGACCTATAGAGACTTCTAGAGACCATAGAGACCATAGAGACCATAGAGACCATAGAGACCACAGAGACCTATAGAGACTTCTAGAGACCATAGAGACCTATAGAGACCCTAGAGACCCATAGAGACCATAGAGACACCCATAGACACCACAGAGACCCCTATGGGGGGCCATGAGGGACACATGGGATGGGGGGACACCAGGGGGTGACCTGTCCTTATCCCCCCGCCAGAGACAAAGCAGGAGCTCGAGGACCTCACGGCCGACATCAAGAAGACGGCGAACAAAGTGCGCTCCAAGTTGAAAGGTGACCTCTTGGGGTGTCCACCTTGAGTTGCCCACCTTGAGTTGTCCACCTTGAGTTGTCCACCTTGTGTTGTCCACCTTGTGTTGTCCACTTTGAGTTGTCCACCTTGAGTTGTCCACCTTGTGTTGACCACCTTGAGTTGTCCACCTTGAGTTGCCCACCTTGGGTTGCCCACCTTGAGTTGCCCACCTTGTGTTGCCCACCTTGAGTTGCCCACCTTGTGTTGCCCACCTTGAGTTGCCCACCTTGTGTTGCCCACCTTGAGTTGCCCACCTTGTGTTGCCCACCTTGAGTTGCCCACCTTGTGTTGCCCACCTTGAGTTGCCCACCTTGTGTTGCCCACCTTGAGTTGCCCACCTTGTGTTGCCCACCTTGAGTTGCCCACCTTGTGTTGCCCACCTTGAGTTGCCCACCTTGAGTTGTCCACCTTGTGTTGACCACCTTGTGTTGTCCACCTTGAGTTGCCACCCTTGTGTTGTCCACCTTGTGTTGTCCACCTTGTGTTGTCCACCCACCTTGTGTTGACCACCTTGAGTTGCCCACCTTGTGTTGACCACCTTGAGTTGCCCACCTTGAGTTCTCCACCTTGGGCTGCCCACCTTGTGCTGCGTGACCGAGGTCCACCCCGCATGAAGCCCCCCTGTGACAGAGAACCACCAATAGCCACGGATGGAGGCACACGTCGGGCAGAAGGTCCACCACAAAGACCCTATCGCTCCCCCTTCTGTCTCCTCCAGCCATCGAGCAGAGCATCGAGCAGGAGGAAGGCTTGACCCGCTCCTCGGCCGACCTCCGCATCCGCAAGACCCAGGTACCACCTTCCCCTTGTGCTCACCCTTCTCCTCCCCTTGGTGGCCACCTCCATCCACACGTGTCCTCCTGGTGCCCCCCCCCCCAGCCCCCCACCTTGCCCCGCAAGTTCGTGGGGGGGTTCGA